CTTGTTTCACTCATTGTGTAGTATTTAATTTATTTTAAGGTTAAAAAAATTATACCTCTTTATATTGTTTTTTGTTGTAGTTTTGTTGTTGTTTTTGATTTGGAGTTTCACTCTTGTTGCCCAGGCTGGAGTGCAATGGTGCGATCTCAGCTCACCACAACTTTTGCCTCCTTGGTTCAGGCGAGTCTCCTGCCTCAGCCTCCCAAGTAGCTGGGATTACAGGCCTGTGCCACCATGGCCGGCTAATTTTGTAATTTTAGTAGAGACGGGTTTCTCCTTCTTGGTCAGGCTGGTCTCAAACTCCCAACCTCAGGTGATCTGGCCACCTCGGCCTCTCAAAGTGTGATAAATGTGTCAAAGTCTCTCATAAATATTCAAATTAAAAGCCAGTATCACCCTAATGCCCAAATTAGGAAATGACATAGCAACAACAACCCAAAAAAATACAGACCAATATTCCTTATAAACATACATGCAATCCTGGAGACGGCGGCCGGAGTGAGCCAAGATTGTGCCATTGCACTCAAGCCTAGCGACAAAGTGAGACTCCCTCTCAAAACAACAACAGTAAAAAAAGCTGAAATTTTAAAACATGTTATTATTTTCATTTGTGTATAGCCATATAATATATATTTGCAAATGCATATAACCTTATTTATACACAAGGTTGAATGCAAATACCCTCTTGAGTAGGCCTGGCTCAGGCCTCCTGGCTCAGCTCCGGGAGGAAGCCCTGCCTGAAAAGACTGCAGCCTAGGCTGTCACTCTTTCTTGATTCAGCCCAGCACCTAACCACATCTTCTGTCACTCAGGGTCTGAGGGGGTGGGATTGTAAACGTTATCCAATGAACGACTTGCTGGGAACTGTCCAATCAGACACGTAGCTGGAGCGAACAGGCGGGATTCCGGGACGTGGCGGGTTTTTTGTCTCTCGCTGCAGCTGGAGCTCTAGATTTTCTCTTTGGTGCTCTGTGTTCTCTGCTTCAAGAGGCCCAGCGTCTGTGGCCCTGTGACCTGCAGGTATTTGGGATCCACAGCTAAGACGCGGGACCCGCTGGAAGCCTAGAAATGGTGAGAGTGCCGGGTGCGTCAGACCGAGAGAGGGGAAGCGCTTGGTTGGAACCCGTGGGAAGCGGCTGTGGTAGGATTCAGACCTCTCCCGCGGTCGGCTCCACAATTTGCGCCCAGTTCTCCTGACGCAGCTCGGCCTCAGTGTCCTTCAGCCACAAGATGGCGGCTGCACTGACAGCAGGGCCCCGGGCGTCCTGTCTCTTCTCTCCCAGTGACTGTGCCCTGGTCTGGAGCCCTCTTTGAGCAGCTTTGCACCCGCAGCCGCGTCTCTCTCAGATTGTGCAGGGATCACGGGAGGGTCGTCAGGGGAGAATCCTGACTTGGGGTGTGAGTTCATGAATGGGAACAGCTTTGGTCCGTGGGGTACCCAGTTCCTATTTTCTCCTATTAAAAATTTATGGGAGCCACTGCAGAAATATTAAAGAATTTAATCAAACGGTGGTTCTAGAACTGTAGCGCACCCAGCTATAGTTTGTAGTTTGTGGTCTATGGGAGAGGCTTGAAGCAAAGTCTTTATAAAATGCATGATGAAGAAAACCAAATTAGTAATTGGTTAGGTGCGGCTGCGTGGTATCCTAATTTGTACATTAAAGGTGAAAATTTCCTGGTTATGTAATCGAGCTTAAGTGGCAGATTATAGTTGCTGAAGCCTAAATTTTGTTTCTCTGAATGTAGTAATTAAAAATAATGCGCCTGAGTTACTTTGCTGTTGTTGTGTGTGTGTTTTGTTTTTTGAGAGGGAGTCTCACCCTGTCGCCCAGGCTGGAGTGTAATGGCGCTAGGCTCACTGCAAGCTCTACCTCCTGGGTTCAAATGATTGTCCTGACTCAGCCACTGCAAAAAAGAGTTTATTAAAGGCCCAGTTAGTTTTTTCTGGAGAGTCTCCCTTGCACATGTCCCAGGCTGCTCACTCCAGTCATGGAAGAAGCCTTTCTGCTGAGAGAAGCTGCAGAACCCCGGAAAGCCACAGGCAGATGCAGTTAAGGTCAGACAAAAGGGAACTGGGAGGATCTTACTGACAATGAGGTTGTTATTGCTTTAAGACAGTTTCTATGCAAAGATGGCGGCACCGCGGTTGCTGGAGTCAGACCTGCCAAGTGCCGTGACACTTCTAAAAAATCTCCAGGAGCAAGTGATGGCTGTAACTGCACAGGTACAATCACTGACAAAAAAAGTTCAAGCTGGTGCCTATCCTACAGAAAAGGGTCTCAGCTTCTTGGAAGTGAAAGACCAGCTGCTGCTCATGTACCTTATGGATTTGACCCACCTCATTCATCAGAGAGATGCAAATCAAAACCACATTGAGATACCATCTCACGCCAGTTAGAATGGCGATCATTAAAAAATCTGGAGACAACAGATGCTGGAGAGGATGAGGAGAAAAAGGAACACTTTTACACTATTGGTGGGAGTGTAAATTAGTTCAACCATTGTGGAAGACAGTGTGGCAATTCCTCAAGGCCTTAGAAATAGAAATTCCATTTAACCCAGCAATCCCATTATTGGGTATATATCCAAAGGACTATAAATGGTTCTACTATAAGGACACATGCACACGAATGTTCATTGCAGCACTGTTTACAATAGCAAAGACCTGGAATCAACCCAAATGCCCATTGATGATAGACTGGATTGGGAAAATGTGGCACATATACACCATGGAATATTATGCAGCAATCAGAAATGATGAGTTTCTGTTGTTTGTAGGAACATGGATGAATCTGGAGAACATCATTCTCAGCAAACTGACACAAGAACAGAAAATGAAATACCGCATATTCTCACTTATAGGCGGGTGATGAAAAATGAGAACACATGGACACAGGGAGGGGAGTACTAAACACTGGGGTCTATTGGGAAGAAAAGGGGAGGGCCAGCGGGGATGGGGGAGCTGGGAAGGGATAGCCTGGGGAGAAATGCCAAATGTGGGTGAAGGGGAGAAAGGAAGCAAAACACACTGCCATGTGTGTACCTATGCAACTGTCTTGCATGTTCTGCACATGTACCCCAAAACCTAAAATGCAATAAAAAATTAAAAAAAAAAAAAAAAAAAAAAGACAGTTTCTAGGCCGGGTGCAGTGGCTCACGCCTGTAGTCCCAGCACTTTGGGAGGCCAAGGCTGGTGGATCACAAGGTCAAGAGATCGAGACCATCCTGGTCAACATGGTGAAACCCCGTCTCTACTAATAATACAAAAAATTAGCTGGGCATAGTGGTGCACGCCTGTAATCCCAGCTACTCAGGAGACTGAGGCAGGAGAATTGCCGGAACCCAGGAGGTGGAGGTTGCCGTGAGCCGAGATCACGCCATTGCACTCCAGCCTGGGTAACAAGAGCGAAACTCCATCTCAAAAAAAGAAGTTTCTAGACTTTGTAATATATAACAAAGTTAGAGTTCTGTTAAAAATTTGAATTCAGAGCCAGGTGCAGTGGCTCATGCCTGTAATTGTAATATTTTCTATCCATAGCATAAAATGGTTTTCCATTTGTTTGTGTCATCTGACTTCTCTAAGCAGTATTTTGTCAGTCTTGTCATAGAAAGCTTTTGCCTCTCTGGTTTGCTGTATTCCTAGATATTCTTTTCTTTTCGTGGCAATTTTTTAGTTAAATAAATTTGACTCTGAAGTATTTATTTTCTTAAAAATAGCTGTGGTAGCCAGCGCAGTGGCTCACGCCTCTAATCCCAGCACTTTGGGAGGTGAGCTAGGTGGATCATGAGGTCAAGAGTTTTTTGTTTTGTTTTTTGTTTTTTTGAGACGGAGTTTCACTCCTGTTACCCAGGCTGGAGTGCAATGGCGCAATCTTGGCTCACCACAACCTCCGCCTTCTGGGTTCAGGCAATTCTCCTGCCTCAGCCTCCTGAGTAGCTGGAACTACAGGCACGTGCCAGCATGCCCAGCTAATTTTTTGTATTTTTAGTAGAGATGGGGTTTCACCTTGTTGACCAGGATGGTCTCCATCTGTTGACCTCATGATCCACCCGTCTCAGCCTCCCAAAGTGCTGGGATTATAGGCCTGAGCCACTGCGCCCACCCTAGTTGGTATGTTTTTTATTACTAATTCAATTTCATTATATATTTTATATATTTTTACCCTGCTCAAGAGTTGTTTCTTCCTGGTTCAATCTTGGAGAGTTGTGTGTCTCCAGGACATATTTTCTCCAAATTCTCTAGTTTGCAGGCATAGTGATGTTCATAGCAGTCTCTGATGATTTTTTGTATGTAGAATTAGTTTTGATTTCACATCTCTAACTTAAATAGATGCAGAGTGCAAAAAGAAAAAAATGCACAAAAGAAGTTTGAAAAAATTTAACATTCCCTTATGATAAATCTCTGAAAAAATTAGGTATAAAGCAAATGCACTTCATCCAATAAGTGCCACATATAACCAAAAAATGCTCACTGTACTCAACAGGGATATGTTACTAGCTTTTACTCTTAAGAGCCAGAATGAAGTAAGGATACCGCGCCCGGCCAACAAATTAAACTTTCAAAATATAAAAGCACCATCAAAAAGTCATACCATTTCTATACATTAATAACTATCTTCAGATCTTGCACGGCGGCTCACACCTGTGATACCAGCACTTTGGAAGGCTGAGGTGGGCAGATCATGAGGTTAGGAGTTCAAGACCAGCCTGGCCAATAGGGTAAAATCCCATAACTTCTAAAAGTACAAAAATTAGCTGAGTCGGTGGCAGGCAGCTGTAGTCCCATGTACTCCGGATCTGAGGCATAAGAATTTATTTTTAACCCGGGTGGAGGAGGTTACAGTGAGCTGAGATAGCACTAATGCACTGCAGCCTGGGTGACAGTGAGACTCAGTCTCAAAAGAAAAAAAAGACAATAAAAAACAAAAAGCTCTCTCCAAATGAAATTAAAAAACAATTTCATTTACAATAACTATAGTTTGATATAAATTTAACCAAAATTTAAAATTTATATCATTTTATTAAATTTAACTTTATATTCTACTGTAAAGAACATTATAGAAATTTAAAATACATAAATGGAATAATATCCATGAACTGGCATTATTAATAAATATTTGTATTACACAAAATTTCCTATAGGTTTAATGCAACCTCTATCAAAATACCAGTGACATATTTCATAGAAATTCTTAAAAAGTATATCTAAAATTCATATGGTACCACAAAAGACCCTGAATAGCCAAAGCAATCAAGACAAAAGAAGTGGAGGTATCACCCTACCTGAGTTTGAAATGTACTATAAAGCTATGGTAACCAAAACACTATGGTACTTGAATAAACAGAGAAACCTAGGTCCATGGAGCAGAAGAAAAAAAGAGCAGAAATATATCCATGTATTTATAGCTAACTGATTTTAAATATAGGTGACTTTTTTTTCTTTGAGATGGAGTTTCGTTGTTGTTACCCAGACTGGAGTGCAATGGCATGATCTCGGCCCACCGCAACCTCTACCTCCTGAGTTCAAGCAATTCTCCTGCCTCATCCTCCTGAGTAGCTGGGATTACAGGCACGAACCACCTTGCCCAGCTAATTCTTTTTGTATTTTTAGTAGTGACATGGTTTCACCTTGTTGACCAGGATGGTCTCGATCTCTTGACCTTGTGATCCACCCACCTCGGCCTCCCAAAGTGCTGGGATTATAGGCATGAGCCACCGTGCCCGTCCAAGGTGACTTTTTAAAAGGGAAAGAACAGTATCTTCATTAAATGATGTTAAGAAAACTTTATAGTCACATGCAGACAAAAAAAAAAAAATGAGACCCTCTTCTCACACCATATGTAAAAATAAACTGAAATTAAATTAGCGGCTTTAAGGCCTGAAACTCTGAAACTATTATCAAAAAAAATACACTGAATGCCCTATAACATTGGTCTGGGCAGCAAGTATTTTGATTTAACGTAAATATCCCAGGACACAAAGAATAAATAAGTCACATCACTTCAAATTAAAAAGCTGCTGTGCAGAATCTGATACAATCAACAGAAGGTAACAACTAAAAAAAATGACGAAAATATTTGCAAATTATACATGTGACAAGGTGTTGATATCAAAAATATATTAACAATTAAAAAACTAATAACTACTAAAAATAAGCAAGTAGCTGAAATAAGTATTTTTCAGGAAAAGACATACATCTGTCCAATGGATATATTTGAAAATGCTCAATGTCAATTATTATCACAAAAAGGTAAGCCAAAATATAAAAACTATGAGATATCAACTCATTCCTGTTAGAATGACTCATTAAAAAGAAAAAAGTGTTGGTAAAAATGTGAAGTAAAGGGAATCCTTGCAGAGTTTGGTGTTTTGTTTTTTTTTTTTTTTTGAGACGGAGTTTCGCTCTTGTCACCCAGGCTGGAGTGCAATGGCGCGATCTCGGCTCACCGCAACCTCCGCCTCCTGGGTTCAGGCAATTCTCCTGCCTCAGCCTCCTGAGTAGCTGGGATTACAGGCACGCGCCACCGTGCCCAGCCAATTTTTTTTGTATTTTTAGTAGAGAGGGGGTTTCACCATGTTGACCAGGATGGTCTTGATCTCTTGACCTCGTGATCCACCCGCCTCGGCCTCCCAAAGTGCTGGGATTACAGGCGTGAGCCACCGTGCCCAGCCAACAGAGTTTGGTTTTAATGTAAATGAGGACAGCCATTATGAAAAAATGAAATAGAGATTTCCAAAAAAACTTAACTACCATGTAATACAGCAATTGCACTACTGGATATATATACAAAACAAATAATATCAGAATGAAGAAACGTTTGCACTTCTGTTGTTTGCAGCACTTTTCACAATAGTCAAAATACAGAATAAACAGTTCAACATCCAATAAGTAAATGAAGACAAGGTGGTAGGTATACACAATGGAATACTATTTATTATTTTGTTTGTTTGTTTGAGACAGAGTCTCTCTCTGTGACCAGGCGCCAGGCTGAAGTGCAGTGGTGCGATCTTGGCTGACTGCAACCTCCACCTCCTGGGTTCAAGCAATTCTCCTGCCTCAGCCTCCTGAAGTAGCTGGGACCACGTGTCAAGGTATTTAGAATGGAGGGTTGAAAAAATGTCTGTCAAATAATACATAATTACAGTCGAATAGGACAAATAATTTTAAGAGATTTACTGTACAACATGGTGACTACAGTTCATAATGTATTTGGATTTTTGAAAAACAAGACAATGTCACATGATCTCACCAAAAAATGTTAACTATGTAAAAGTATTAGTTACTTTCTCTGAGATGAAGTTACAAACTAACTGCAGCAGGAATCTTTGCGAATCATTATGGAGAATCTATTACAGAGCAAAACCTGTAAGGTATGTTTGCTACCTTTATATATAAAAACATCCTCATGACTTGCTGAGTGCGGTGACTCAAGCCTATAATCCCAGAACTTTAGGAGGCAGAGGCGGGTGGATCACCTGAGGCCAGGAGTTCAAGACCATCCTGGCCAACATGGTCAAACCCCATCTCTACTAAAAAAAAAAAAAAAAAATTACCTGGGCGTGATGATGCGTGCCTGTCATGACACATGCCTGTAATCCCAGCTACTTGGGAGGCTGAGGCTGAGGCTGAGAATCACTTGAACCCGAGAGATGGAGGTTGCAGTCAGCCAATCATGCCACTGCACCATTGCACTCCAGCCTGGGCAACACAGCCGGACTCTGTCTCAAAAAAAAAAAAGGAAAAGAAAAATCCTTAAATGACTTATGAAGCCTCTCTAGTACTTAGCTGAACAAATTAACTCAATAGATAAAAATACTTATGTCAATTATAATAAGTGAAAGGAACAATCACTAAAGAAAAGAAAGCTTATATATTGTTCTCCCATTAAAAGAACAAAATGGAGTGCACCAACTCAATAAAGTGTAACAATACATTAATTTTGGAATTAACATCTAAAAATTATTTTGAGTGTACTAAATTTTCTTTTTTGGGGGGACGGAATTTCGCTCGTTACCTAGGCTGGAGTGCAATGGCGCGATCTCTGCTCACCGCAACCTCCGCCTCCTGGGTTCAGGCAATTCTCCTGCCTCAGCCTCCTGAGTAGCTGGGATTACAGGCATGCTGCACCATGCCCAGCTAATTTTTTGTATTTTTAGTAGAGACGGGGTTTCACCATGTTGACCAGGATGGTCTCGATCTGTTGACCTTGTGATCCACCCGCCTCGGCCTCCCACCGCGCCCGGTCGAGTGTACCAAATTTTATAAAAATTCTTGAATGGGTGCGGTGGGTCACGCCTGTAATCCCAGCACTTTGGGAGGCAGAGGCGGGTGGCTCACGAGGTCAAGAGATCGAGACCATCCTGGCCAACATGGTGAAAACCCGTCTCTACTTAAAAAAATCCAAAAATTAGCTGGGTATAGTGGCGTGCGTATATAGCCCCAGCTATTTGGGAGGCTGAGGCAGGAGAATTGCATGAACCCAGGAGGTGGAGGTTGCAGTGACCCAAGATCGCGCCACTGCACTCCAGCCTGGTGCCTGGCGACAGAGCAAGACTGTCTCAAAAAAATAAATAAATAAATAAATAAATAAAAATAAAAATTCTTACAATCACAGACCAGTTCACATAATGAATACTTCATAAAATATAAAACAAACAAAAAATATGTAAGAACAAAAAAAGTAGGGGTCTAGCATGAATACTAGGCAAGTAAATACAGAGAATTTGCATGTGAAGATTCAGAACTGTAAGTCATGGATTTTGCAGTAAGAAATTCAATACAAAGCAGAAAGTATATATTTGCTTTCAGCATTTTTTTTAGATTTTAAAATTTTATAGTAGTCACCTTAATTTTTTTCCCCATATTACCCTTTTCAAACTCATACTCATATAAACGCACTCCATAATTTTCTTACACCTAAGGTTTGTCTTTACACTAATATATATTTAACTCTATGTAAGTCAAAAGTAAAAGTCTGTATGTTTTTGCAGGCAGACAGGCCACACGTTCAAAGAAAAATATATAAAATTTGAAAAAACATTTATTAAGAATCTAAAAATGAATTATATCATACTTGTCTATAATTTTTATGACCATAAAAATAACCCTGTAGTAAATAAAAATTGTACCTGTAAAAAATTTTTTTAAGCATAGAATTGGATTGTTTGTAAAACAAAAGATAAATGCTAGCACTGAAGGATGCCTCACTTAATGCTGATATGACTATTACATATTCTACTCCTGTATTAAAATAAGGCATATATCACATAAATGTGTACTCATATTATGTACCCACCAGGATTAAAATAGATTTAAATGATTAAAAACAGAATAAAAATTTAACCTGGTCGGACATGGTAGCTCATGCCTATAATCCAAGCACTTTGGAGTCCAAGGCAGGCGGATCACCTGAGGTCGGGAGTTCAAGACCAGCCTGACCAACATGGTGAAACCCCATCTTAAAAAAAAAAACATTTAACCTACAGAAATAATATTCTTTATTTGCAGTTGAAAGCCACTGGCAAAAAAAAATTACTAGAGACATTAATCCATTATGTATATTGTTATGATCTTTTACCTATACCCTTGGATAAGGTGGAAGAGGCTAAAGTTTGTGGCATAATAATGCTTCATTGAATGCACAATGGTGTTTAACATGTAAAAATTTTGAATTAAAGTATTAACTTTATTAATCTAAAATTTTTTAATGTACTGCATTTCATTATATAAAAGTACAGTTAATATACTACTAATTTAATTTTAAACACGTTGTCTTCATATGACAATGCACAATATTACTCTGAACATCTCCGTCATGCATCACTCAATATTATGTTAACCTTTAAGAGCCTCTCCACTGAGATTTTCATCAGGCATTTTACATTTTAATGTCTTTACTTTTGTATAGAAAAGATCATAAATAATGCCCACCTAATAAAAAAGAACTTCTTGTCTAGAGGCCCAGGTGGGTGGATTACAAGGTCAGGAGTTTGAGACCAGCTTGACCAACATGGTAAAACCGCATCTCTATTAAAAATGCAAAAATTGGTTGGGTGTGGTGGCAGGTGCCTGTAATCCCAGCTACTTGGGAGACTGAGACAGGAAAATTGCCTGAATCCAGGGGATAGAGGTTGCAGTGAGCTCAGTCGTGCCACTGCACTCCAGCAAGACTCTGTCTTAAAAAAAAAAAAAGCCAGATGCAGTGGCTCACACCTGTAATTCCAGCACTTTGGGAAGCCGAGGTGGGTGGATCACAAGGTCAGGAGTTCAAGATCAGTCTGGCCAAACAGTGAAACCCCATCTCTACTAAAAATACAAAAATTAGCTGGGTGTCATGGTGCACATCTGTGATCCCAGCAACTCAGAGGCTGAGGCAAGAGAATCACTTGAACTCAGAGGCAGAGGATGATGCAGTGAACCGAGATTGCGCCACTGCACTCCAGCCTGGGAGAATGAGCAAAACTCCCTCTCAAAAGAAAAAAAACAAACCAAAACAAAAAAGAATGTCTCCTATCTTTGATGCAACAATTGATCCATGCTTTCATGTGTGAGTCCAATAGAAATGAAGAAACAGGGAATAATTTCAGGATTGAATGACATTATTATTTACTTCTCAAAAAATATGTAATATATTTTAAGAAATATACTTTGAATGTAATAATAACTGCAAAAAAAACTTCTGATTCTCTTAAAGTTATATACAAATAATTTTTCTACCAACTTTAGTTTTAGATTTTCTATACTCAGCACTCTGATTTAGGATATCTGATGTGTCAGTGCCTTATATATTTTTATCATAAGTACTCTGATATTTGCATAGACTTATGTATTAATTTAACTTTTACTGCATCTGCATAAATATCCTCTAGTATAAACTGTTATTTTCTAAGATGTAGGTTTTGAAAAAGTGTTTTTCCAAATCTATTACATCTGCACAACTTTTCTTCAATATAAATCCCCTGATGCAGAACAAAGTTTGAGCAACTACTTCAGAGTTTTCCTCTAGAACAAAATGTCTATAATAAGATCTATGATACCGGTAAAGAGGTATAACTCTCTTTATATTTGTAATGTTCATCTTCAAAATAAATACTCTTCACTATGAAAGCTTGTATTTTCTGAAAAATCTTGACAGAAATTGCACTTATAATCCTTTTATTAAGTACGAATTCTCTGGTGTTAAGAGGTGAGCATGTGGTGTGAGATGTGAGCAAGTAAGACGTAAGTAAGATATGAAAATGGATGATTTTCCAGTCTTTATATAATTTATCTCAAGTATAAAGGCTTTCTTGTACAATAAGGTGTGAGCATTGGTTACAAGTTTTGCCACATTGTTCAAACGTGTAGGCCTTTTTTATAGTATAAATTATCTTACCTAAATCAAGTGTGACAACCATTTAAAGGCCTTGTCTCATTCTTCAGATTTCTAGGATTTCTCACCACGATAATTTCTTTTATAGTTAGAAAAGTTTGAGGTGTTGTCAAAAGCATTGTCAAGTATTTCAGGTTTGTAAAGTTTCTTTTCAGTATAAATTATTTTATGTCTGTTAAGAATTGAGGGCTGGCCGGGTGCAGTGGCTCATGCCTGTAATCCTAGCACTTTGGGAGGCCGAGGCGGGTGGATCACCAGGTCAAGAGATCGAGACCATCTTGGCCAACATGGTGAAACCCTGTCTCTACCAAAAATACAAAAATTATCTGGGCGTGGTGGTGAGCGCCTGTAGTCCCAGCTACTCAGGAGGCTAAGGCAGGAGAATTGCCTCAACCCAGGAGGTTTAGGTTGTGGTGAGCCGAGATCACACCATTGGACTCCAGCCTGGGTAACAAGAGCAAAATTCCGTCTCAAAAAAAAAAAAAAAAAAAAAAGAATTGAGGGCTTATTAAAGGCTTTGCCAAGTTTTTCATACTTGTAGGATTTCTGTACAGTATAAATTTAATACTTAGTAAGACTTGAGAAATGGTTAAAAGCTTTGTCACATTCTTTACATTTGTAGAGTTCCTCTCGAGTATGAATTATTTTGTTTAATAAGGTTCAAGGTCTGGTTAAACGTATTGCCACATTCTTCATAGTTGTAAGGTTTCTTTCCAGTATGAATTTTCCTATGTTTAGTAAGAGTTGAGGATTGGTTAAAGGCTTTACCACATTCCTCACATTTGTAAGGTTTCTCTCCAGTATGAATTATCTTATGTTTAGTAAGGTTTGAGGACCGATTAAAAGCTTTGCCACATTCTTCACATTTGTAAGGTTTCTCTCCAGTATGAATTATCTTATGTTTAGTAAGGTTTGAAGACCGATTAAAAGCTTTACCACAGTCTTCACATTTGTAGGGTTTCCCTTGAGTGTGAATTTTCTTATGTGTAGTAAGGATTGAGGACCGATTAAAAGCTTTGCCACAGTCTTCACATTTGTAGGGTTTACCTCGAGTGTGAATTTTCTTATGTGTAGTAAGGATTGAGGACCGATTAAAAGCTTTACCACATTCTTCACATTTGTAAGGTTTCTCTCCAGTATGAATTATCTTATGCTTAATAAGGTTTGAGGACCGATTAAAAGCTTTGCCACAGACTTCACATTTGTAGGGTCTCTCTCCAGTGTGAATTCCCTTATGTTTAGTAAGGTTTGAGGACCGATTAAAAGCTTTGCCACATTCATCACATTTGTAAGGTTTCTCTCCGGTATGAATCATCTTATGTGTGGTAAGGTTTGAAGACTCATTAAAGGCTTTGCCACATTCTTCACATTTGTAGGGTCTCTCTCCAGTATGAATTCTTTTATGATTAGTAAGGGTTGAGGACCAGTTAAAGCCCTTGCCACATTCTTCACATTTGTAAGGTTTCTCTCCAGTATGAATTATCCTATGTGCAGTAAGTAGTGGGGACTGGTTAAATGCTTTGCCACATTCTTCACATTTGTAGGGTTTCTCTCCAGTATGAATCATCTTATGTGTAGTAAGGTTTGAAGGCTCATTAAAGGCTTTGCCACATTCTTCACATTTGTAGGGTTTCTCTCCAGTATGAATTCTTTTATGTGTAATAAGGGTTGTGGAAAATTTAAAAGCTTTGCCACATTCTTTGCATTTGAAGGGTTTCTCTTCAATATGAATTCTCTTGTCTCTAGTAAAGGTTGAGAACCACTTGGAGCTTTTGCCATGTTCTTCACATTGGTACAAATTCTCCCCAGTATGAACTCTTTGATGTTGACTTAGGTGTAAAAGCATGCAAAACGATTTGTCACATTTTTCACATTGGAAAGGTTTCTTTTTAGTCTGTCTTATCTTATGTCTATTTAAATTAAAAAATTTATGAAAGACTTTCGCATATTGATCACATTGAAATACTTTGCTCCGGGTAGTTGTGAAACACTGGCTGAATTCATTATAACCTTCTTTGTGCACCTTACATTCATCCACCACACTTTCACAGCCTTTTCTTAACTGTAAATTCTCATGTCCACATTTTCCGTATCTTCTCAGTATCACTTGTTGAAAAGAATCTTTTATGTCTTGATCTGGCCAAAGGTATTTGGGAAAATAAGAACACATAGCTGAAAGAAATAAAAACAACAAATTGTTAAACTTACTATGCTTAGATAAACATACTTTACAAATTGAACCTATATTATAAAGGTAGCTGAGGACTGTAATCCCAGCACTTTTGGAGGCCAAGGCAGGCATATCACCTGAGGTCAGGAATTTGAGACCATCCTGACCAACATGGAGAAACCCTGTCTCTACTAAAAATACAAACTTAGCTGGGTGTAGTGGTGCATGCCTGTAGTCCCAGCTACTAGGGAGGCTGAGGCAGGAGAATCACTTCAACATGGGAGGCTGAGGTTGTGGTGAGCCAAGATCATGCCATTGTACTCCAGCCTGGGCAACAAGAGCAAAACTCTGTCTCAAAAAAAAAAAAAAATTCTGAGGCCCAGGGCAGTGGCTCACGTCTATAATCCCAGCACTTTGGGAGGACGAGGGGGGTGGATCACAAGGTCAAGAGTTTGAGACCATCCGGGTCAACATGGTGAAACCACATCTCTACTAAAAATACAAAAATTAGCTGGACATGGTGGCGCGCACCTGTAGTCCGAGCTACTAGGGAGGCTCAGGCAGGAGAATTGTTTGAATCCCGAGTTCATACTGGGGAGAATTTGTACCAATGTGAGGCTCAGGCAGGAGCCAGAGGTTGTGGTGGGCCGAGATCGAGCCATTGCACTCCAGCCTGGGTAACAAGAGCAAAACTCTGTCTCAAAGAAAAAAAAAAATTCTGAAACAAAAAATGTTGAAATAAAGAGGCTCAACAAACAAACTAGGATACACACAAAGATGTTTATAACAAACATATATATAAGAACAATTTCAAAAGTCACAGAAAAGAGAATGGAGCTGCAAGATAAAAATGATGTGTCACTTACAAGCATAGTCCTATGAGATAGGTGTGAACTGTCAACAAAAACTGTGCCAGCCACAAAGAAACTGTGCGATATAGTTAACATCCTGAAGAAAATAGCTATCAAGTGAGAATAATACCATCAGCATATCTATCCTGCCAAATAATTTTATAAAAAGACCTTAAAACATAACCAAATTTTGAAAAGTTATGTTGCAATTCATATGCCCTAAATATAAAGAGAGCTGAAAACAGTTGCTTTTACTGAAAATAACATGATTCAACAAAACAACACATAATTGTATAAAATGCCTTATTTTCTGGGAAGAAAATGGACATATACAAAAATGGAATTTCTTAGCATTATAATAATGGTGCAAAAACATTTTTAGTTATTCTCTAAAATTTGAAAGGTAAAAGCATATAAATCATTATAAACATTTATTAATGAATATACAACATGATATATATAATTAGCAACATCAATGACAAATTTGAGGGCAGATATGAGAAAAAAATTTTTGGATGCAGCTGAAGTTCATTTTCACCAGATTGAAATAGATTTTTGTATCTTTTAGAGGCTTTGTGTAATCCCCAAGGTACCACCAAGAATATGTCTGCATAGATACACAACACAAAATAAAAAAGTGAAAGCATATCAAGATAAGTATAAAAAAGACACAAAGACAGAAAAAGAGAATGAAGAACAAAGATACAAGAAGCAAATAAAACAAAATAACAATACTAAGTTTTCATAAGTGAAGAAATGTAAAATTATTCTCATACAAGCAAATGCTGAAGGAATACATCACCACCAGGCCTGCCTTGCTAGAGCTCTACAAAGAAGCACGAAATATGGGAAGAAAAAACCATTACCAGTCATTGCAAAAACACACTGACGTACCAAATCAATGACACTATAAAACAACTACATCAACAACTCTTCAAAATAAGCAGCTAGCACCATTTGGACAGAATCAAAACCACACATAACAATATTAGCCTTAAATGGTATAGACTGAATGCCTCAATTGAAACAGAAGGGCAAGCTGGATACAGTTACGATACAGTTACTCATTCTATAAAACCAGCATTGTCCTGCTATCAAAACCTGGCAGAAATTAAAAAAAATAAACAAACTTCAAGCCAATATCCCTGATAAACATCAATGCAAAAATTCTCAATAAAATACTAGCAAACTGAATCCAGCAGCACATCGAAAAGCTTATCCACCACAATCGAGTTAGCTTTATTCCCAGGATGCAAGGCTGGGTCAACATACAAAAATTGACAAACCTAATTCATCACATAAACAGATCTAAAGACAAAAATCACATGATTATCTCAATAGATGCAGGCCGGGCATGGTGGCTCAAGCATGTAATCCCAGCACTTTGGGAGGCTGAGGCAGATGGATCACGAGGTCAAGAGATCGAGACCAACCAGGTCAACATGGTGAAACCCCATCTCTACTAAAAATATGGAAAAAAAAAAGAATTAGCTGGGCATGGTGGCACGTGCCTGTAATCCCAGCTAATCAGGAGGCTGAGGCAGGAGAATTGCCTGAACCCAGGAGGTGGAGGCTGCAGTGAGCTGAGATCGTGCCATTGCACCCCAGCTTGGGTAGCTAAGTGAGACTCCATTGCCAAAAAAAAAAAAGATAGATGCAGAAAAGGCCTTTGACCAAATTCAACATCCCTTCATGTTAAAAACTCTCAATAAGCTAGGTATTCATGGAACATACCTCAAAATAATAGGAACTATCTATGACAAATCCACAGCCAGTAGCATACTAAAAGGGAAAAAGCTGAAAGCATTCCCCTTGAAAACTGGCACCAGACAAGGATGCCCTCTCAGCACTCCTATTTAACATAGTATTGAGTTCTGGCAGGGAAATTAGGCAAGAGAAATAAGTGATATTCAAATAGGAAGTCAAACTGTCTCTGCAGACGACAGGATCCTAGATCTAGAAAGCCCCCCTGTCTCAGCCCAAAACCTTCTTCATCTAATAAGCAACTTCAGGAAAGTACTGAGATACAAAATCAGTGTGCAAAAAACACAAGCATTGCAATAGGCCAACAATAAACAAGCAGAGAGCCAAACTACAAAGAAACTCTCATTCACAATTGCTACAAAGAGAATAAAGTACCCAGGAGTACAGCTAACAAGGGAAGCGAACGACCTCTTCAAGGAGAACTGCAAACCACTGTGCAAGAGGATCAGAGAGGACCCAAATAAAAAAGACAGAAAGAATCAATATTGTAGAGATGGCCATACTGCTCAAAGTAATTTATAGATTCAATGCTATTCAGACTAAACTACCATTAACATTCTTCACAGAATTAGAAAAAAACTATTTTAAAATTCATATGAAACCCCAAAAGATCCCATATAGCCAAGAGAATCCTAAGCAAAAAGAACAAAGCTGAAGGCATCATGATATCCAACCTAAAAGTGTCCTACAAGACTGTAGTAACCAAAGCTGCCTGAAACTGTTATAAAAACAGACACGGAGACCAATGGAACAGAATACAGAACTCAGAAATAAGATTCCGTATCTACAACCATCTGATCTTTGAAAAACCTGACAAAAACAAGCAATGGGAAAAGGATTCCCTTTTAATAAATGGTACTGGGAGAACTGGCTAGCCATATGTAGAAGGTTGAAACTGGACCCCTTTCTTCCGTCTATACAAAAATTAACTAAAGATGAATTGAAGACTTAAATGTGAAACTCAAAACTACAAGAATCCTAGAGGAAAATCTAGGCAGTACCATTCAGAACATAGGCATAGGCAAAGATTTTATGATGAAAGCAATTGCAACAGAAACAAACATTGACAAATGGGATCTAATTAAAGAGCTTCTGCACAGCAAAAGAAATTATCATCAGAATGAACAGACAATCTACAGAATGGAAGCACATTTTTGCACTCTATCCATCTGACAAAGGTTAACATCCAGAGTCTACAAAGAACTTAAACAAATCTACAAGAATAAAACAACCCCATTGGAAAGCGAGCAAAGAACAAGAATAAACACTTCTCAAAAGAAGACATTTATGTGGCCAAAATCATGAAAAAACATTCAACATTAGTGATCATTAAAGAAATGCAAATCAGGCCAGGTGCAGTGGCTCAAGCCTGTAATCCTGAGGTGGGCCGATCATGAGGTCAAGAGATCGAGACCATCCTGGCCAACATGGTGAAACCCTGTCTCTACTAAAAACACACAAAAAAAATGAGCTGGGCGTTTTGGCGTGTGCCTGTAGTCCCAGCTACCTGGGAGGCTGAGGCAGGAGAATTACTTGAACCCGGAGGCGGAGGCTGCAGTGAGCCGAGATCACGCCACTACATTCCAGCCTGGCACCTGGCAACAGAGCAAGACTCTGTCACAAAAAAGAAAAAAAAGAAAGAAATGCACATCAGAATCACAATGAGATACCATCTCACGCTAGTCAGAATGGTGATTATTAAAAAGTCAAGAAACGGGCTGGGCGCGGTGGCTCAAGCCTGTAATCCCAGCACTTTGGGAGGCCGAGGCCGGTGGATCACGAGGTCAACAGATCGAGACCATCCTGGTCAACATGGTGAAATCCCGTCTCAACTCAAAATACAAAAAATTAGCTGGGCATGGTGGCGCGTGCCTGTAATCCCAGCTACTCAGGAGGCTGAGGCAGGAGGATTGCCTGAACCCAGAAGGCGGAGGTTGCGGTGAGCCGAGATCGCACCATTGCACTCCAGCCTGGGTAACAAGAGCGAAACTCCTTGAGAAAAAAAAAAAAAAAAAAAAGTCAAGAAACAACAATGTTGGGGAGGCTATGGAGAAGCAGACGTGCTTTTACACTTTTGGTGGGAATATAAATTAATTCAACCATTGTGAAAGCCAGCATGGTGACT